AATCAGCATGAAACAGGCAGTGAAACGCTGGATAAAAAGGAAGAGACTGGGGGGATCTCAGCAAGATTCACCCCATGGTTTAGATTTCACATCAAGAGCAGGGCTTGTTAAGTACAATAAGCTTTAGCCAGTATCATACAGTGCTGGCTAGAAACCAGCTAGGGTTCTCTGTAGCCACCATATGGGTGCTTAAGTTATAAACACATCAGTACATGAAAGGCAATCGTAGGTGTGGTGGCAAAAGAGCATTTCATGAGCAGCAAAAGAATTTCTGAAGAAGAGGAAACAAAAAAAAAATCTGTTATGCAAATTGCATTATACATAGTTTGAGAACATAAAAAAGAGAAATGAACTAGGAAAGAGAAAGAGAAATGAATAAGCATAAGCTTATCAGGTAGTCGACTGAAGTATCGACTACTCACTCCCCCCTTGCTGCGTCTATGAGAAGCAGCTGGGGGAGCCAGCTTAAAAGCCAGTTCCCTCTAACACCATCTCTGTGGTGCTGCCTGCTCCCTCCTCCACCCCACCTCTGCTGCCTCTATCAGAGAACGTGTGTGTGGGGGGGGGGATAGAGGATGCTGCTGCAAAGCAGCCTCTGCCTATGGCAGGCTGAGGCTCGCCACGGGCAGAGGCTGCTCCAGCAGCAGCCCTTGTCTGCAGGGACCCTAGAGGGGAGCTGAGCTCTGTTGTGAACAGGGGCTGCTGCTGCTGCCAAGCAGCCCATGTTCACCATGGCCTGGGATGACCACCACAGATAGGGGCGGTTGGACTCAGGGCGAGCCGGGACTGAGCAGTCCTGAATCGCACCATTCTGGGATGCTGTGCCTCTGCATTTTAAATGTCCTAAGACCCCGGCGGCTTTTACTACATTTAAAATACAGAGCCACAGTGTAGGTGCCTCCCAGAGCCAGCACAAACCAGGACTGCTCAGTCCCAACTCAAGCCAGATCCTGGAACTACTCCCACTCTGTCTCTGCAGAGTGGTCCTTATCAACTAATCGTGTAGTCAATACAAACTGTATCAACTACACGATTAGCCAGATAACCTCAATTTAACATCCTTAAAATGAACCTGCTCTACAAAATAAAGACTCTGCATTAGCACAGACAGGATTGCAGTGTATACAAATTGATACCAAGAGAAATGACTACTTGTGGATTGTAGCACTAAGCTTCCATATTTTCTCACCGGTTTAAGGCTGTATAGATGATCACTTTTTTATAGTGTTTAGCAGCAGTAAAAGATTCAAGATTAAGATAAAGGATATTTGTGGACAATAGGAAGTCTGGGTCCTATTGCTGACTCTACCCAAAACTTCCAGCATGCCTTGGGCAAGGCCTATAGCTTCTTTTTTTCTCAGTTGCCTATCTGGAAAATGGGGATTATTAATTGTATCCCAGTAATGTATTTAAGCCCCACTCTGATAGAGAGAGTGCTTGCTCTGCAGAGCTTATGACCCAAATAAACAAGGCAGACAAAGGACGGGAGAGGAAGCAGAGGTAAAGTTACCAAGCCCACCTCAAAAAAAGTCACACCAGAGGTCAGCATCAGAGCTGGGAGGTAGAACTCCAGTCTCTTGATTCTGAGTCCAGTGCACTGCCTATTGGACCATACTGTCTTTCCAGGACCGCATATTGGCCAGAATCCCAGGAGAGTTATAACATAAGAACAGACATACTGGTCGGATCAAAGGTCCATCTAGACCAGTAGCCTATCTTCTGATGGTGGCCAAGGCCAGGTGCCCAGAATAAATGAACAGAACAGATGATCATCAAGTAATTCATTCCCTGTCACCCATTCAAAGCTTCTGACACACCACCATCCTGGCCAATAGTTATTGATGAACCTCTCTTCCAGGAACTATGGGTATGTCTACACTACCCCGCTAGTTCGAACTAGCGGGGTAATGTAGGCATACCGCACTTGCAAATGAAGCCCGGGATTTGAATTTCCCGGGCTTCATTTGCATAAGCGGGGTGCCGCCATTTTTAAAACCCCGCTCGTTCGAACCCCGTGCAGCGCGGCTACACGGGACACGAACTAGGTAGTTCGAACTAGGCTTCCTAGTTCGAACTACCGTTACTCCTCGTGGACATACCCTTATCTAGTTCTTTCTTGAACCCTGTTATAGTCTTGGACTTCACAGTGTCCTCTGACAAGGGGTTTCACAGGTTGACTGTATGTTGTCAACGTTGTAAGGATTAACACATATGAAAGGTTCAGAGATCATGAGTGTCATAGAAATGCCTTTCAAAACATTGAATGTCACTGAATATTGACATTATCCATTCATTTATGTAAGCATCTTCATGGCACTGCATCTCAACTCAGACTCCAAAGGCCACATCACAGTAATTGGCTAAACCAGGCTTTGTGGCCTTTTGGATGTATGGCTTCTTTTGAAAGTAGTAACAAGGGAGATCGTTAATTCCAGTTGCCCGTCACTCTCAAGTCTCCATCACACACACACACACGCACACACACACACACAAAAGAGGGAGAGAGAGAAAGAGAGATCATGATCATCATTCTCCTCACTTTGTCGGCCATTTGAGAGAAAACACTCAGAGTAGGATGGGCCAAGGTGACAAAGCTCCTCTCAGATGAATCAAGGTGGTAGCACCATCTTGGAGTTTAGGCATGTTTGCAGGGTGGCATTTGGGAACCTGGCTCTGTCACTGTGCATTCTGGACCTGTTCTTTAGGTAAACAGAGGACCTTGATCTCTACAGTTGTCTGTTTAGCATAATTTGCCATTAGCATTAAATTCACTCTGGAAAAGCACAAAGGGGAGGTTGGCAGATGGCAGCACCTGGAGAAATGGCCTATTGGCTATTTGTAGATAACAGCCCATTTCCTTATGTACAGTTGCTTAAATCTGTAAAAGCCATGGGCACGGAGATGGTAACCTAAAATTTAGCAGGGAAAAGTAGATTTACCATTCATCCTCTCTCTTACTTCAGGGAATCTTTCTTCCAAACCCCAGCCCTGAAGACAGTAATTCATAAAGTCATTTGAATTACATGCACTGGGAAAGGTTTTAATCAAATGACAAATACAATTTTTGTTAGCTCCAGTCTCATTTATTTCCTGAGAGAAAAGGTTAGGAGCAATTTTGCACCCTATTGCATCATAAATCCTAATTTGTATATTTTATTTGTGGCACAGGAATGTGGGAACGGGGGATGTAGTGAACCTGACAAGAGTTTAACTAAGCCACTATCCAGAGAGAAATACAAGACTGAAAATGGCAATGGGCCAAAACCAGGACTCTAATTATGCTTCCCTTAGAATTTCAGATTGATTGATAGTTTCAGTTTCCAACTCCCAAATTCATACTCCAAGTCAGCTTCAATGGGCAGAAAAAGCCCATTTTTCACTTGATTCAAATGCAGCTGCAATCCCACAAGAAAGGCCTGTGATGAGGTATGGTAATAGAGGCCCCCTTAAGAGTATCCTAATCATTCCATTGATGCCCATCTTGCTCTCAGAGCCTATGTCTAGATTACATCCCTCTGTCGGCAGAGGGATGTAAATGAAGCACTTCGAAAGTGCAAATGAAGCAGGGATTTAAATATCCCATGCTTCATTTGCATAATCCCGTAATGGCGCTCTTTTGAACAAGCACCATTTCGAAAGTAAAACCACAGTCTAGATGCGGTTCTTTTGAAAATGGGGCGCTTTTTCGAAAGTTCCTGTAAAACAATTTAAATATTTAAATCCCTGTTTCATTTGCACTTTCGAAGTGCTTCATTTACATCCCTCTGCCGACGGAGGGATGTAATCTAGACGTAGCCTGAGTTCCCCACCACCTTGTCCTGCCAGGCCAGATCCTTTGCTCTCTCCCAGACAAGGCACAGAGTTAGAGTAACTGCCTTTCCTGCAAAACAATGATGATGCTGAACCCCTTCAGGTTTAGGCGGATATTGTCCTAAAGCATAGCACCCAGGAAGCCAACCCCCAATAGAATCAAAACCGTAAATAAACCTGGCTTTCATTGTGTAACACTTTTACACAAGGAAATTTGGAGGATATTCACCCCCTTTATCAATGAAAAATATATGCACGATGGTTGTTGCCCCTGAGGTAACAATTATTTATACAGGGCAGGATAATAAACACTTTTGTTTATTGAGTATAAACAGAATGATTTAAATGGTTGCAAGTGAAAACATACAGACAGATCAAAGTAAGTTACCAAATTAAAATGAAAAGGAAATGCACAGCTAGTTCTAATTCACTAAAAGAAACCTATTGCATGCAGATTCTTACCCTAAAGAGCCATTCTTTTTTCAGGCATAATCCTTAAGTCAGAGAAAAGCTCTTTTACTCTGACTTGGGTCTCCAGCTTTCTTTGTATCCCTTTTGAGTGTGCCAGGCTGTTTCCCCAGGACAGTCAAAGGGAAAGGGCTGGTAGTTTCCCCATTGCTTAAATAGCCTCTCCCCCAGAGTGGGAATCTTTTGTTTTTCATCTCCCTTTCTGTGCAAATTTACCAGGTGGTATGGTCACATGGCTTACTAGTCCAATCACCTTTGGACATACAGGACAAACAAGGCTATTTACAAGTCATTACATTCATCACCCAATCATCAGGCTTTCAGGGCATTGGCAATGGCTCTCATAAGCAAAAACTATAAACAGACTCACACTTCATATTTCTAACATCACATACAAGAATGATGAATACACCAAAATAGGATATACCGATCCAGCAGATTATAATATTAAAATTGACAGGTTACATGAGGTATTTTGTCCAAAGCCTCTGAGTTATGCATATTTTTCATAAAGCATGGGGGGGGGAGGGGTGTTACAAGGCCATTCCAACCACATTTCACCACTCAATGACCAAAAATCTTCCTATAAAGCTGCGCTCACATCACTACATCATCTTGGAGCAAAATTCCAAGAGAAGGGTTCATGACATTTCACAGCTGTGGCACTTGAACTCAAAGCCTAATTCATCTTTAAACCCAAACCCCAGACTAACGTGGAAAACATCACTGATTTTGATGATTTAGGGCCTGATTCTGCTCTCTTTAGGTGCTGGTACTGCAGCTATCACCATAAGATCTGACTGGCACTTGATTCTCCAATGACGTACAAACTTACAGGGATTGGATATGGTTTAAAGGATCTTAAATCAGACATATAATAAGTTGAAAAATCCAACAAGGTCAAATGTTACATTGGACGTAATAACATGAAATGAAGCCATTAGAGCAACTTGCACTTAAGGATCACAGTAGTTTGAATCCAGTAGTATTAAGAGCAGAGGACAATAATAAAAAATATAAAACATTAGGAAAATATAGTATGAAAGAATGTGAAAGCAGTTGCATATGATCAGTGGGAATTTTATAGACCACAAAAATCAGTGGTGGAAATTTTAGATTCAAACGTAGCCCCTGTAATGGTATTTTCTATCCTTCACTGCCAGTGCCCGTGGTATGAAGTTGCAAGGCATTGCTAAACAGCTGCTACATTTCACCCCAGGGATGGCTGCATTTTCAGTGGTAGGTGAAGTGATTCTTTTATACGCCAAGCAGTTTGGGATGCTTCAGGATGCAAAGTATTTAAATGTATGATAGTATTAGCATAGCAATCAAAATTGATGGTGTAATCAAAAGAGAAGCAAGAGCAACAGAAATCGGTGTGACCAGGCAAAGAAAAAAAGACAAATGAATGTAATGTGATAATTAGAATTTGTTATTATTCCTGCGTAATGAGCCAGAGGAAGGAAAATGCAGAAGAAAATGTCCACTTACAGAGAAGAAATATATCCCACAATATTGCCACTGTGAACAATCACTTCCCTGACCTGCAATTAGATTGGCAATGGGTTTCTATCAGGTCATACTTGCTGCAGCCTTATCAGTCAACAAAAGGAAGTATGTTAGTCCGTGGCTATCTTTGAGCCACATAGGATGAATCAGCAGGAGCCAGCTTTGAACATCCACTTCCCATTCCTTTGGGGTGAGTGTGACTCCCAACAAACACCTTAGTAGCTAGCAATAATGAAGCTGTTTGCTTTGGGCTTTCCACGCTGCATTTCCATTCCCCTTTCTCTGCAGATGAAGATCATATAATGATTCATGGCAACTAATGAGAGAGAAAAAGAGTACATCTAAACTATATCCTTCTTTCGAAAGAGGGATGTAAATTAGACATATTGAAATTGCAAATGGAGCCAGGATTTGAATTTCCCGCTCTTCATTTGCATAATCGCATCACGGCATTTTTTTTGAAAAACGCTATTTCAAACGTGAAACCGCAGTCTAGACGCAGTTCTTTTGGAAAGAAAAGCCTTTTTCAAAAGCTCCTGTACTCCTCAAAAAATGAGGTTTACAGGATCTTTCGAAAAAGGCTTTTCTTTTCTAAAGAACCATGTCTAGACCACGGTTGCACTTTCAAAATAGCGTTTTTCGAAAGACGCGATTACGCAAATGAAGCATGGGAAATTCAAATCCCCGCTTCATTTGCAATTTTATTATGTCTAATTTACATCCCTCTTTCGAAAGAGGGATGTAGTCTAGACATAGCTAAAGGAATCAAATGGTCAGTTGTCATTCAGCGCAGCCAATGAGGACCCAGGGGAACTGCAACTTAAACCAAACCTGTGACCCTTTTTTCAAGCATGGAAATTAGGGCTGTCAAGCAATTAAAAAAATTAATCATGATTAATCACCACGGAGTCCCCAGCTGACCCCACCTACATGCAGCACTGCCCCTTTGAAGTGCTGCAGCCTTCAAAGGCACTTTGCACTCCAGCTGATCCCTAGGGACTCCAGCCGATCCCCAGCTCCACATCACAGCTTCCCACACGCAGAGCCGGGAATCAGCTGGAGCGGCACTTCAAAGGCGCTTTGCAACAGGGAGCCAGGGATCAGCTGGGTATTCCAGCTGATTCTCGGCTCTGCTTGCACTGCCCCTCTGAAGTGCCGTTTTGGTGCTTTAAAGGGGCAGCGCATTAGGAGCCTGGGATCAGCTAGGGACTCCATCTGATCCCCGGCTCCAGGTTGCAAAGCTCCTTTGAAGTGCCACTCCAGGGATCATCTGAGCACTCCAGCTGATCCCTGGCTCTGCTTACACTGCCCCGTCGAAGTGCCGGAGAGCACTTCAAAGGGGCAGCGCAGTATTAATGCCTGTGATTAATGCGTTAAAAGGATTAAGGCGTTAATCCTGTCCTGTGTTAATTGCAGGCTATAAAACACAGGTCAATTGACAGCCCTAATGGAAACATTTGGTTTATTTCCTTCCCCATTATTTTTCATTTCTGGGCACCTTTGCACTTCTAAAGTCTATCTGAAGACAGTATAAAAAACACTTGAGCATCATGAGAAAAAAAGTTAATCTCGCTGTTATTTCCAGCTTGGCCTGAAGCAGGAAGCCCCAGAAATCTCATAAGGAAGATGGTTTTCATTAGGTTTTTCTGCCACCCCCAAAAGGATCAGAGAAAGGTGCAATCTTTAGGATGCTTATCTAAACTGAATCGATGAAATTTTAGAAGTACACCTATCACTGGTTCAGTGATGGTGCTGAATGAGCCCATTGTGTTAGCCATGCCAATGTTAAGACAGAAAGACAGATAGAAATGGGTAAACTTCCCAGGAGGCATGGCTAGATTCCGATGCAGACTACATGCCCATGTGAGGGATTACATACCTCTACCTCCTTATAGGCAACCCAGACCTTGTGTTCTGTCATGAGAGGCTAAGCATGGCACAAAGTGGGCAAGAAATGGGTGAAGCCTTGACTCCAGCTTACTGCCCATTTGCTAGCCAGGGAAGGTGAGCTGGGGGCAATTTATTGCTGGTCTGGGCCAGAAGCAATCTACTACCTTCTCCAGGGCAAAGAGAAAGAAGGGATGGGTATTGGGTGCCTGGGGATATGACTAAGATGCTGCTGGAAGCATGCTTAAGCCTAGGACGAGAGACTCACTCTAGCTGGGCTCAAAACAAGCATGTGGATGCTGTGGCTGGGGGCTGCATCTCAGGCTCTCAAACACCCTTGACTCACTTCCAGTTGCAATGCAGTCATATCCAGAGCGTATCAGATACAGGGCTACCCATGGATGCCCCTGGTTTCATGCAGCTTATGCACAACTCACAGGCATGGGCTAATCCTAAAATTAAAAAAAAATCTAGCCTTTCAATTAGCTTAGAGGCATACATTATACATCTGTATAGTGTAAGATGGGACGTTGAATAAAATGATTGTGGAGAAGATCAGATTTAGTCTTATTCAGGGAAGTAGGAGAACCAAACCCAGTTGCCTCCATCTCAATGTACTTTGTGGTTGAGTTCTGGAGACTGAGTTCGTCTTGGCTGGTTCTTTCTACATGCATCTGGTGCCCTCTTCCTCCTTGAATTTCAGAGACAGACTTCTAGACCTCAGGGCTCTTTTAATCATCTCCCCCTCTTGCTCCTGCAGCTGGGAAACCATCTCCATCCATTTACACTCTGTGGATGCCTTCTAAGAATGGGAGTTGTTCTTTAGATTGGGCTGATTTGAATTTCTCCCTGAACTATGTGCCAAGTCCAATTTCATCTCTCTCCAGAGCAAGCTTGCTTGCATCTGTCCAGCATGACCCGGATTTTATTGAGTCCAAAATATGAGAAGAATAACAGCCGAATATTATAATACTGCTGAATATTAGTATTGCCTCTTTCCATTCCAGCTACAAATCAGGGAACATCAAATCAAAGTGCACAGAATTTTAAGCAAAACAACAACTACAACCCGCCCCAAGCTTACAGCCTAACTTACTGACAGGTCTTCCAACATCAAAATAGGCTTGGAATTTGGGTCATTTCTTTTATCCAAACCCATTATACCACCCTTAAAAACTTGACATCTATGTTATTATTCACCACGTTTATTATGGCCATGTCTAGAGAACTGAGAAGGGCCCATTTTGTGCTAGGCAATATACACGAATAGTGAGGCAGTTCCTACAGCAAAGGGTTGACAAGCTCAGAGCATGGTCCTAAGAAGTGGCTGCTCACCCTTGACTCCTAGTGATGCCAGTAGGAGGCAAGGTTCCAGAGCCCCTTGCAACAGCCAAATGGATTTTTTCACCAGGAAGATATTGATGAAACCAACATCCCTGGGCTCCCAACATCTGCAGCTAACCTTGCATGCAAAGATTTGAGGTGTGGGGAAGGATACGGGATGGAGAAAGAGAAACGTTCATGTGTGAGTGAGCAAGCAAGCAGCGTTGTGCATTTTTAATTCCGTCTGATGGTTATTTCATTTCTGTATAGGACTTTTTCCATCTCATTTTTACTCTCTGCGCTTCATGTCAACTAGATCAAATCAACGGGAGCTCTGCTGAGTTCCGAGGACCACATGGGGCACTAATGCTGCCAGTCTCATCAGTACATTCCTTTCCACTGGCAACAGTGAGCTTTGTTAGGAAACAGCACCACTTGAGAAGAAGTAAAAGACTGCGCAAGCACTCTTCATTGTGCTGCATCTCTGACTAGACCAGGCACTTTTCAAGAAGGAAAATAATCACAGGGGCCACTTCAATTTCCCAGGCAGTGTCGGTGGCTTCCAAGGAATGTAATGATTCATTGGGCTCTCTCATATTAGCAATACATTATTCCTTTCCCATCATAGCAGCTTACATGCACAAGGCTGCAGGTAGTTGGTTGAGAATGATAGCCAGAGGAGGCACAAAAATTAGTCTGTGTATTGGTCACTGAGCAGGTGTAAATGAAGCTAGTTATAAATTCTATGGCTCCTCTTGGACCAACAAGATGAAATGTAGTTCCTGCAGGCCTCCGTTGCTCATTTGTAGAAATTCTGCCAACGAGAGGGTATTTTATTGGTCAGTCATTATGTACTCAGAGCATGCAGAACAGCAGGGAGGATGACAGCAGAAATAGTTTTACAAATTGAAGAGGCCCTCTTAACTCTGCACAAACATAGTTTTACCATCCTCTAAGTGTATCTTAGCAAGATCGACTATTCCATCAGCAAGCTCCGACTGGCTCTGGGAAAGCAAAGGCCCCCCATGTCACAAACCAACATTGTGATGCAATGGTGCTTGAAAAGCCCAAAATATGGCAGGGAAGGACCTTCATGTTTGTTGTTTCTCGCATCCATTGTTGTTTTCACCAAGGTCCTGCATTTGATCCACCGAGGCAGGCCCACATGCCTGCACAAATCGAGCTCCAAGACTGGGGTCGTACTATGGCCAAGATTTTCAGAAGTAACTAGTGACTTGCATGCCTCAGTTTGAGATCTTAATTTTTTGAGAGCAGACACTTAGTATTTTCTGAAACTCAGGCCCCTGTTGGGCTCCTCAGTTCTTGAGAAGCATTAAAACACAAGTCACTTTTGAAAGTTTCAGCATGACTGTCAGGGCAGGGACTTTCATCATTATTTATCTTGTGAAGCATGCCACACATCTAGCAACTTGGTAAGTAATAAAAAAAATCATCATTAGGCATCTAAAAGGATTTCAGTTATCATGGGTGACAAAAATGCAACTTGGCTTGAACTAATACATGAGCTTTGATGCAATGGGATTGTACTGTTAATTTTTGCTAAATTTCCCCAACCTTTTTAAGCATATGGATTCTGATTCATAAGAATACTGCAAAGTATGTGCCAGGACCCTATACTACAAGACAGAATCATTAGGAGACACAATTAGGAGGGGGAATTACAAATCCCAACACACAAATGCAATCCCAGAGCCCCGGATGAACATATGGACAATTTAGAAGAGAATTAAAAACTCTCTCAGCTTCTCAAAGTTCTATATTTCTCCGTTGGCTAAAAATACTATAGAGCAACACAAGAATGGATGCCGGATGTTTTCTGGCAGAGAAGCAGCATATGTACCTACCACATGCCATGGCAGGTGCTGTGGGCCAAGATTTGCTTTGTTAGCTAGCAAGTGACACAACGTGCCAATGAATAAAACCTACACTCGAAGCCAAGGAGTAAAGTAACTGTTTCATCTCCAAATCAGCCTATTTTCCTTTTCAACTGGGTTACTTCAGTAAAACAAAGATTGAGCTTGTGTAGCTAGAGCTCATTTCTTGTCAAACCTCTTATTGAGGATGAGGGCTAGCATGGCTCATGGTGTTCTCATCTCAGGCAGACATGTGGCTCACACCTCTCACCTGGCCTAAGGTCCAAATATGAGGTCTCGCCTGGGATATCAATCAGGGAGAGACACATGTAAAATAAAGATGTGGGAAAGATAACCTGAGTGTAAGGATTAACTTTACGGTCATAAAGCACATGAGTTATAACTTCAGGTCCCTGATAATATGCTTTGGATGTAAATGATCTATATTGTTAAGCTGTGAGAAGACAGCTCTGTAGTGGACGGAGCAAAAATTAGGTCTGAACTAAGAATGATCCTATATTGGGACAATATTTTTTATGCTAACGAATTCATCCAGCAGTGAAATTCAGCTACCTCTGGCGTGGGTTGTGCATGTTGTTCATATATGCAGAGTAACAATACCCGGTAATCAGGACTGGGAGTGAAAAATTATCTTTTAAAGGGTCAATCAATGGCTCATCTCCCAATATCTTCAATGGATGCAGAGCTGGCCCCAAAACACAGGACATCTCTGCTGCCCAGGGGTAAGTCTACACAGCAGGACTAAACTTGAACTAAGCTATTCAACTTGAGCATCAATTACTTAGCTCAGGCTGAAATAGCTTATTTCGACTTTTGGTGCTGTCTATATAGCAGTTATTTTGAAATAGAGCACTCTTCCCTTAACTTCTTTTACTCTTTGTACAATGAAGTTTACAGACGTTGGAGTAAGGAGCCCATTATTTCAAAATTTTGAAACAACGGGCTTTCTGTGTAGACTCGCACTAAGTTCAAAATAACACTGCTGTGTAGACATGTCCCAAGTAAGTAGCACTCCATAGAAATCTGAGAAACAGGGATTCAGTCTCTTGAGTGAGTCTTGATTGCTCCTATAAAAGATCTAAAGTGCCTCCTTCTTGTGTTCAAGCATGGAATGCTACCGATTGTGTTAACATCCTTTCTAGCCCTCCCCCATCAAAGGAAGTAGCTGCAATGCCCAGTCTAGAGTAAAAAAATACTGTAAGGACAAAAAACTAACCAAGTATACAGTGTGTGTAAAAGTATTTCTGAGTGAGATCCCCAAACCAGTATGACAAATGCTAAAAGCAAAGAGCTGAGGCATTGTGCAGACAATATGCTGGTTATTGTTTTGGCAAAGCATTAATTAAGCCGAGAATCCAAGTACCTTTGTCTGCCTGGAGTATCTATGGGCATTATTTTGCATATTTTCTAAGTTTTCTCTTCAGGGCGCAATCTGCAAACATATTTGCATTAGTGGATTCAAGCTAGTGCACTAAGTATGTATGATCATCACAATTCAGGCTGGCGCATGGGCTCTCAAGCCCACCCAACCTCCTAAATTTGAAAGCCTAAGCCACAACATTCATATGGCTGCCTTTAGCCCACTTGCTTGCACCCTGCTAACATGAGACTGTTCACTTAGGCTTCCAGCTGAAGTGTAGAAATACCCTTTGTGAACCCTTTGTGAATCTGGAAAAGGCTGAAGCCAGCAGATGCCGGTGGAATACTTCCAATACTTCTGGCTAATCATCCAATGAGAGTTGATCTGGAGATATAGTACTACTGACCCATAGCCCATACTTCCTGCATTAAATGCTATTTTATATGCTATCCTGCTGTAGCATTTGAGATAAAGCAAGTCTGTGAAAAGTCAAGGAAATTATGCAGGTCCTCTCAGTTCTTATTACAACTCAGATGTTTTACCCAATGCTCCTCCAGAATTATTTACTTTTGCTCCTGAAAGGTCTGTCCTTCTTGTGGTTGCTTACTGTGAGCCAAGATTAACTAATTCTAGCTAATATCCTATCGAAGGCAAACAACACCTAAAACATGATAATCAATGGCTACATAAGGCTGTCATTATATTGTTATGAATCAGTATGGAGAAAATGAGAACCATTAGAGGGTCCAAAAATGTGTTCACAATCATGTAAGCTGACAGTGAAAAAGACAGACCAGTTAGGCCATTCGGTCAATCAACTTGCCAGCGTACCATAGTACTCAAAAATACATTCTTCAGGGTTTTGTCAATGTTTTGCATAAAAGTGTACCATGGGATGACTTCCATTACTGATCATTTGCCTTTCTGGATTTTGGTGGGGTTGCTGAGGGTGGGAGGAAACCCTGTCCCTGGGGGGTTGTGCCCACCCTCACACAGCCCTGCTGGGGAGCGACCTCACAGGGGGTGGCTTCTGAGGTATTTGAGGGGGGTGGGCACCTCCCAAGATCTCAGGCACTCCCTCTCATTCTGTTTTGTGTGTTTGTTTGTCTCCTTCTATAGGTTGTGAGGGCCATCAACTCCATCCTGCTGTGCAGGGTCATCCACCTGGGAGATCTGGATCTGATTGTCACAGGATTTGCCGCCCTGGGGTTCCCCAGACTGCTCAATGAGTTGGTGCTCAATCTGTGTACCAACTCATTGAGCAGCTCAATACATAAACCACAAGGGCTACTTCTCCATGGTGCTACAGGCTCTGGTCAACCACCGTGGACACTTCACAGACATTTTCATGGGGTGGTCGGGCAGGGTACATGACACCCACATTTTCAGAAACTCAAGTGGCTACAGGAAGCGGGAGGCTGGCACATTCTTCTCCCAGCATGAATTTTGCATTGGGGACATGTACATGTCACTGTGCATTGTGGGAACGCAGTCTACCCCCTCATGCTTTGGCTTATGAAACCATACACTGGCCACCTGGACCCCAGCAGGGACCAATTAAATACACACCTCAGCCGGGCCTGAATCCAGGTGGAGTGCACCTTCAGGCACCTCAAAGCGTGGTTCAGGTGCCTCCAGACCCACTTCAGTATCGGGGAGAACAACATCCCTGAGGTGGTCTCAGTATGTTGTGACCTCCACAATATTGTGAAGGGGAAGGGGGAGGGCTAAGGTTAGGGGTGGGGGACAGAGGCTGGCCGGGAAGGAAGGACCGCTGCCATCCGCCAGGCAATTCAGGTAGGGGTGTCCATCCAGGAGGCCGTGAGGGACAGTTTATCTCAAGGACCCCAGTAACTCTCCAGGCCTCTCCACTAGGGTCCTGTGCCTTGCTCCACTATCCCTTTCCCACCACAACCCCTCCCTTCCCTTCAGTCTCAAACACACCTGTTCTGACTTGAACAAAACGAACTTTGTGGGGGAGACAAACACCTGCAGAGAGAATGGAGGAGGGAGGGGTCAGGGCTGGGAGTGGTGTGTGGGGCATCTGGAAGTGCCACCTTGGGTCTGGGGACTTTGGCAAACTTAGGACAACTGAAGGGTGGCCAGAAAGGTGGGCTGGAGTAGGGTCAGGGATAGCAGGGGGCAGAGGCATCACTTGGGGCAACGGGAGGGGGAATGGGCATAGCAGGGGAGGCAGGAGGGTGGGAGCCAGGAGCAGGGAGAGCAGCCAAGTGTGCCATTATTTCCCTCATGATGGCTCAAATGTTGTCGCCCTGCCACACAAGCTGGTCCCACATGAGGCTCCACCACTCAGTGTCCTCCCGGACCTTTAGCGTCAGGGTCTGCTGCATGTCGCAAAAGATGCCCACATGCTACCTCAGGAGGTCTTTGCGCACCCTCGCGCGCTTGCAGCTCCTCCGGAGTAGGGCGGATGCCTCAGCTGTCATGGATTGCCCTTCAGCAATGGTTGGTCTGGTTGGGGAGAACACAGAGGGAGAGGTGGTCAGTCATCCATGCAGAAACTGTCCCTGAGGCTGTGCCCTCTTCTGTGAGCAGCGACCAACAGTCCTCAGGCCAGAGGAGGGCGATGTCCTGGGAGCAAGGCCATGTGTGGCCTGCACAGCTGGCCCTGCCTCACAGGGGCTGCAAGGTGCCCAGGGAACTATGCTGCCCGCTTATCTCCCCTTCCCCCCGGCCCACAGACAAGCAGGCAAGAGACGTGTCCGGCCACAATGGGATTCCATGGGCGGCAGAGGGGCCTGCAGCAGCCTGGTTCTCCCTGGGGCCCAAATACACATCTGCACCTGACAGTGCTATCCGCAGGAATGGGTGGTGCCTGACACGTGCAGTCATGCCCCTGTGCTGTGTACAGCACTCCTCAGTCTGAATGAGGCCATGCTTGCGCCCTTGTGCCCAGCCTGCTTCCAGAGGTGGCTAGTGGTGTCTGTGGCCTCCCCTGAGCCTGGGAGCAGAATCCCAGGGGTGCTCAGGGGCTTCCTCCTGAGGCCGTGTAAAACAGACTGGCGCTGCATGTGCTTCCACATGCACCAACTGCAGCACGATGTCCAGGCCAAGTAATGATCACACCCCATCCCTTCTGCGCCACCTCCCCCACTCTGCGTGTGTGTAAAACTGAGAGCACTGACCTGACGATCCCTCCCCGTCATCAGAGGCTGCCTGCAACACGTCCACACCCTGGGGTACCAGCTCAAGAGTGAGGGTGACTGTGCTGGCCATGTCCTCTTCCTCCTGCACCTGCTGTCCCTCGTCCTCCTCAGCAGCAAGCTCTGGACTGGTGACAATGAACGTTTCAAGCCCCAAGTCCACCACCACAAGTGGGGAAAGGGCTTCCCTGCCCCCCAGAATCTGGTGGCGCTCTTGGTAGCAGGGTCAGTCGTGTGTCCTGCCCCAGAACAAGAGCTGCACTCCCTGGCCCTGGCATAGGCCTGGCGGAGCTCTTTGACTTTAATATGGATTTGTTCTAAGGTCTGGGGGTGGGGGGGTGTCCCTCCTCCACCAAGACCTTGGCCACATGGCCACAGATATTGGCATTTCTGTGCTGGGAGTGGAGATCCTTCAGGGTCTCCTCCTCCCCCCACAGCTTGAGGAGGGACAGGATCTCCGCTCCAGACCAGGAGGGCACATGCCATTTGCTGCCCTGGCTGGGTCCTGGGAGCCCTGGTGTTTCTTCCTGTGAGGTCCAGAGAAGTCTCAGGGGGCTTGTGGCCGGGCCATGGGTTGCAATGCCTGTGGCAGGAAGAGCTGCACAGTTCAGGTGCTGCTCTCAGGTCTGGCTTCCTGCCACAAGGCTTGTCCAGGATGCTGGAAGGAGACAGGAACTATAGACTTCTGATTACTTTGGATGGAGTGTCCACCAGGGCAGCTGTGTTATTTCCTGGGGCTGCTTCTTTCAAAAGAAAAAAAACACCATACACCCTCTTCCTCGTCCACACACGCCTTTTTCTGAAAGAACTCTCTTGGAAAAAGGCTTCTTCCTCGTAGAAAGAGGTTTACCACTATTAGAAAAACACCTCAGTTCTTTCAAATTTGTCAAAAGATCGCAATAGCAGTGTGGACGTAAGAGTAGTTTTTCCGGAAAAACCCTGCAGTGGAGACAGACCCATAGGGTATGTCTACACTACCCCGCTAGTTCGAACTAGCGGGGTAATGTAGGCATACCGCACTTGCAAATGAAGCCCGGGATTTGTAATTTAAATAATCGCCGCTTCATTTACAACAAAATGGCTGCCGCGCTGTGCTGATCAGCTCTTTGTCGGCACAGCGTGGTAGTCTGGACACTCAGCAATCGACATCAAAAGACTTTGTCGAATGCCCACTTATGAACTTCATCCCACGAGGCATAACGGGACGGTCGACAAAGGCTTTTGATGTTGACTGCCAAGCATCCAGACTACCGCGCTGTGCCGACAAACAGCTGATCGGCACAGCGCGGCAGTCATTTTGATGTAAATGAAGCGGTGATTATTTAAATCACCGCTTCATTTTGCCATGTCTACAAAGCTCATCTACATGGCTCTGTCGACAGAGCCATGTAATGTAGACATACGACTCCTTCACACCAAGCTGTCAGCATAATGGGCTATAAAGTGGTCTAAAGTGTATGTAAATGTAAATGAAAAGTACCTTCACACTACTGGGAACTATCTACAGTGAAAATAGGTGTACCCGTTAGTTCTGATCAAGCTAGTGCACAGAAAATAACAGTATAGCTGTGGCAGTGTTAGCAGCAGGATAGTTGGTCTGTGTATGACCCTCCTTTCAAGGTCTTAGGTCCATACTTCTGTGGCTAGCGTCTCCTGCCACACACTCTGTCATAGCTACACTTCTGGTTTTAGCTCATTGATTTATCAGAGCCAACATGGGTATATCCACCTGAGCTGAAGTTCTACCTTCTGCCTCCAGTGGAGACATACCCTTAGGCTGTGTCTACATTGGCATCCCTTTCTGGAAAAGGGATGCTAATGAGACACTTCGGAATTGCAAATCCGCGGAGGATTTAAATATCCCCCGCGGCATTTGCATTTACATGGCTGCCGCTTTTTTCCGGCTCGGGGTCCCTTTCCGGAAAAGGGATGCTAATGAGACACTTCGGAATTGCAAATCCGCGGGGGATTTAAATATCCCCCGCGGCATTTGCATTTACATGGCTGCCGCTTTTTTCCGGCTCGGGGTTTTTGCCCGAGAAAAGCGCCAGTCTAGACGCCATTCTCCGGAAAATAAGCCCTTTTCCAGAGGATCTCTTATTCCTACTTATAAAGGGCTTATTTTCCGGAGAATCGCGTCTAGACTGGCGCTTTTCTCCGGCAAAAACCCCGAGCCGGAAAAATGCGGCAGCCATGTAAATGCAAATGCCGCGGGGGATATTTAAATCCCCCGCGGATTTGCAATTCCGAAGTGTCTCATTAGCATCCCTTTTCCGGAAAGGGATGCCAATGTAGACACAGCCTTAGTGTAAATGACAAATCAGCCCCAAAGAAAGTTTCACCTTTAGGGGGATCAGGAGAGTTGGGCCCAAAGTTTGGATAAATATTTTGGAGAATGTGAACGGAACACCCACATGTATTATGTTCACTAAACAGTGGATCATCAGGGTCACAGGACTGTCTCTCAATTGGTCTACTGATGCATTTCTAAGGTGTCCATCCCCGTAACATGTATTTTCCAGTACCATAGGACTCAGGTCTCCATGCAAACGAAGCAGAGGCAGGGGGCTACACATGGAGCTGGCTGTAGCTTCCTGTCCTGACAGGAACCTTTAGCACAATAACTTTCATGTGCACAGGGACAGTTCTGATTCACAGCACTGGCTGCAAATTAGATCAGGAATTGCAGTTCTCCGCTCCAAGACACCTCTCTCTTTTCCATCCCACTGCCATGGCACCCCAGCTCTTCACATCTCCTTCCTCTCACAGGAGTGAAGGTGCTGACACGAAGAGGTCTTTAGACTAGAGAAACCAGCCTCTGGCATCTGGACACCAACAGCTGCCTATGCTAACAGCTAGCATAAATAAAAACAAAAGCATGAAAGCAAAAACATGGACACTATATATCGTCTCTGTGCTGAGACTGAATGTGAAACTGGCAAACGTGCAACTCATGTCAAAATCAGTATGATACAGGAAGCCTGAGGACAAATTCTACTGTGGGTAACAAACAGCAGATTACGAGTGAACCCAAGAGGAAAAAGGCATTGGCAGTGTTCCCCCACCCCACCCCGACCCGCAAGCAGGTGAATGAAATAATTACTGCTGCAAAAGCTTTTTAAAAGTCTAAATATTTCAATGCCAGTGCATGAGACAAAAGGAGTCATTGAGACCAAAAATCCTTCCCTTCAAAACAAATTTGTAGTGGACGTTCAGAATTAGACGATGGTAGCTCGTCGAGAAGCAATGAAGGGTGACAGAAGGGGGTTATCTGTTATCCAAGCAACTGCATAAAAATAGCAGAGTGAAGAGAGGGAGGGGTAGGGTGTGTGTGTGTGTATGTG